AATAATAAACCCTTATCTATTTCTCATCGCAAAATAAATTTTTTTAATATATATATATATATTTTTTTTTTCATATTGGGATATTCATTGCGGATTCGAGCAGGTCATATTATCATGCTATTGGCGCTTTTTCCTACTCTTTTATTGACATATATCGATACTGATGCATGTATGTTTCTCAGTAATTTCTTTCGCAATTATAATTTTGACATCCATTCGAATTTATTTTAAGTAATTGATTTGTTGGACAATGTAATTATGCAATATTTTTTTACAGTCCAACTAGCTTTCTTCGATATTTCGATGTTACTCGCTTCATTAGCCAGTTTTGGTTCTATTGGTTTAATCGCTTGCGGTCTTTTGGGATTTTCAGCGAAGTTTCCGTCTGAAAATGTAATTTTTCTTTCTTTCTTTGAAATTCAGAAATACATTGACCCGGATTTTTAGGTAATTCTAAGTTTTCGAAATTTATCACTCTCATATTCTCAAGAATTTCGAACATTACTTCGTAGATTCCTCGTTTTTCTCTTTTGTTAAGATCTTTTTCCGAGTATTTGGAATATTGTCATTATCATGTTGACGAGAGAAATTGGGGAGTGCTTTATTGCTTAAGTTCATTTTTTCGAGTATTTTATGTTTTTATAGGTACAAGCAGTAATGATTGGTCAAGCAGTGGCTGAAATTTTGAGTTCGCTGTTGAGCATTATTTGCCAAAGTCTAGCAGCTAATGCCCTTATGAATGGTCGTTTATTTTTTGTAATTGCCCTCATTTGGACTATTTTGAGTATTTTTTTTTACGAATTATTGATTCGATCAAAAGAAACCGAATCATTACTTGTCGAGGAAAGCATCCGGATTGACCAATCGTCCAGTCAACGGCTTCTTGGTATTTTTTCGTTGATTTCCATAATGTTCTCTCCACGTGTAAATAGAACTCTTCTGTTTAATCTAATTCTACATATTTCGCTTCGCTGAGTACTTCATATATTAATGTGGATAAGAATAAAATTTTCCCATTACTTAACCTACAAATATAAATAGAAAAGAATTTTAACTTGGAATATATAATATGCATATTAGAATGCGAAAATTTGTAGCCTTAGATGGTAATATTATCGTCATCAAAGAACGAAATATTATCAATTTTACATGTTTAGATAGTCTTGACAATAGTTTCGAAACAGATGGATCTCCGCTTCATTTGCGGTCGGTTGAAGCTCATTCGTTGTGGGATGATGCAAAACAAGTATGGAAAAAAGTAAGCACTGTAGGATTATTTTTAGATCTGTATTTTTATGGTTTCCTCTCCTTTAATAGGCAAATTAAAAAAAAAAATGTTAAAAAATTTATTTTCTCGATTGTCCATGCTATCATTATAGTGTTAAAGGAGATGTTAACGGAATGAAGGAAAGCGAAGATGAATTTCAGATATCTGTTTCATAAAGAAGATTTGGCATTCTTCCTGACAATGCATTCATCTCTTTCACCACTTGTTTTAAACATCATGAATCACTAGTATGTATTGCTATATTATCAGAACTATTTACTGAAGTAATATCGTTCTTTTCAGACTAAAACAGAATGGATGGCTGGTTTTATCATTTCTTTTGGTACTATGACAGCTTTTCCAGCGATATCATCGTTGGTTCAAACAACTGCTAAAAATGTGATCTGGAAAAGTGAGCATATTAATTTCATATCAGTTAACTTCTACAAATCTCGTGCTCAAGAAAACATAAGTGACAGATTGATTTTTTCTGGCAAAAAATGATATTATAGACAACTAAAATATCATTTTTTGAATTTAAAAATCGTAGTGGTTGAAATTAGGGATTCGGTATTGGATTGAAGAAGAAGAAATGACCGTGCGATGACGATCTGAAGCATTTATGTACATATATTTGTATAAATGTGTCGGAATGATCTCTACTACATTCCGGAAAATGGAGAAATTGTGATTTTATTAATCGAAAGTCATATTTTCATTATAGGATAAACACTGATTCGAAATTTATTGATTACAAGATGAATTAAACATAATTTAATCGAGCAGTGTTGCTAAGTCATTACAGCACATGAATAATCATAATATACACTAAAAGATTAGCTGCCGCAGTATTCGCAAGATTGCGTTGATAACAAGAAAAAATAATTGAATGAAACCGATTCAAATTTTATAAGGACTTCAAGAAATGGCGAATATCAGTGGAAAAATATTTCATGAGAAAATGAGATGTTTACGGATGTCAATAGTTGTTACTGGTTTGTTCTTCCGAAATCTCCTATTTAAACCGTCTTTTGCAGATTATTTTTCATCTCTTGCATGCTTCTTATTATTCAGTTGTGGTGATGCACTGGGTCGTTTATTTGTGAATTTTTTTAAGCTGGTAAGTTATTAATTTTAGCAGCATTTGAATTAGCTGATAAATTAAAATCAATGAGCGAAATGATTAACATCAAATCTTTCTTTGTTTATATTGACTTTAATATGCTTCTTTTAAAATATACGCCGATATCTTTCATAAGTTTTAATCATTAAAATTATTAAGTCAGTCGATGTGAGATATCTCCAGTGTAGACTCGAATACATATTGTAAATAGATCTACTAGGTAGACAATTTTATTTATTTACTGACAAATTTCGTTTATTTTATTTGTAACCGTTTACCAAATATGGGCTGATTTCGATGTACCAATTCCGCTGACTTGGCAAGAGACAACTGCAGTGTAATTTTAAAATAATAAATGATTTTATAACAATCCGTATATGGCTATGATTCCCATATAATTTTTTCATAACGCTAAGCCAGATTGATTGTATGGAACACAATACAGTCCTGTATTCTCACTTTTTTCTGTAATTATTTAATTGCTAATTTCAGAGCAGGAAAGCTTTGATAATATTGTCGTTTCTTCGACTGCTAGCTATTCCTGTGTTTTTTTTCTGCAATATTAATCCACGTTATCATTCTGTGACGTTATTTCACAATGATGAAATTTTTATTTTAACAATGATATTGTTTTCCATTTCAAATGGTTTTCTGTTCACGACAACAACTATTAATGCGACACGGTAAATTTCTTTTTCTTTCTTTGAAAAGCTAAATTTAACCTTGTTCGTTTTGTATTTTGTGTATATATGTGAATGGGTATATGTAAATGTACTATATATATATATATATATATATATATGATAGCATTTACAGATGTTTGTATATATGTGTATAGTGTCAAATAATTGATGTAGCGTAAATTTTGAAAAAAGGAAAAGAATCTACCTGAAGTCCATTCATCCCGGATTGATTCTCCATTCATCCCGGATTGATTCCTTATTATATCATGGTTTTCCCTGATAGAATCCAACAACATCGTAATATTCTCATGTCAAAATCAGACGAGTCAATGAAAAGTTCGAAAGCTTCGAATAATCCAGAAAGATTTATTAGGTGATGGAGCTTATCCTGACTGAAGTCACCGTTAATCTTATGAAATATTGAGCTGATTTGAATCGTTATTATTGTCAACTCTTTTTAATAAAACAATATATTGCCTATATATTGTCTAAGGTTAACTATTACGTAGTAGAAGGACACTGATATTGTATTGCTGTTGAAATTTTCGTTCCATTAAATGATTAGTTTGAGCTATTAAAAATCAGTCTACGGCACATACATGTGATAGTATCGTGATTGTTTCTACATTGACCATTTTTATTTCATCATCTCTAGATAAATTAGTGTTATTTCATTTATTGCTGCAATTAATTGTATCCCGTTATTTAAGCTTTTTGTAAAACACAAATGTTTTATTATTAAGAAAAATCTCACTTTTTCGATGAATTTCTTTTCTGTCATTTTGCAGCAAAGTACGTGAAGAGCTACGTGAATTAGCCGGGAGCATATTTGGATTCATGGCAGTAATTTCAACAGTTTTTGGCTCTCTGATTGGTTTATTACTTGTTAAGGTCATGTGAAAAAATAGAAATTTCGTGGAAATCTCGTACTATTGGTTAGGTTTTTTTTTTTTTTGTTCCAAAATTTTCGAATAAAAAGTGTTCGAAACGACTACGATGAATTTCAGTACAATGTCAGTAATGATAAAAAGATGAAGAGTCTCATAGATGATACCTCTGTTTAGAAAAATAATATGAAACCAGTGCAGCTTATATCTCACTAATTGAAGTCTATGGGTCTCATTTGGTAATAAAAGTAACCTTTTTACTGCAATACATGGTTTTGAATGGATGAAACATTCAGTAAATCAAAGAAAGCGTTTTGATTAACACTGTCGTTCAGTACAGCATATACTATATGCTATTTATATTTTTTGAAAAGCAAATTCTTCAGTTTGGTTAGTATTTGATTTTGTCCGATCTGTCAAGTTAAGCAATTTTTCGAGCCTAGTTAATACTTGATTCTAAAATGGCTTTGGAAATTCTATGTTTCTATAACATATTTAGTTCTCAACAATTTTTGCAATAGTAATCGAGTTATTGTTGAATGCAAGACAATCATATGTGAACGAAGCGAGATACACTCGCCGGTTTAATTACCCAAGTTTGAGGTAATTGAATGTTTCGGCCCAGAGTTTCGGCTGCTGTGGCTTGAAGTAAAATTTTGGAACGTCCTGCTTCTGCGGGACAACAAATTAACAGAAGAATGATAAGGAAAACCCA